TTCTTTCTTTCTTTCTTTCTTTCTTTCTTTCTTTCTTTCTTTCTTTCTTTATTTTTGGTTTGTATGTGTGCTTCACTAAAACAAAAGTAAAAACAAATGAGCTGGGCACGGTGGTACACACATGCCTTTCATCCCAGTACATAGGAGGCTGAGGTAAAAGGGTAAGTTCAAGGCTAGTCTGAGCTATACAGTAAAACTTCATCTTAAAAAAGAATTAGGAACAACAACAAAACCCCATATACAAACAAGCAGAGGCTGCTAAAGATGGCGGTGTGAACACAGCACTTAGGAGCAGGCTCTCAGAATGTCACTGAAGTCGAGAATAAAGGCAGGCTTGCTTCTCTGAAGCCTGACGACAGAAAATAAAAGGGACAGCATCAAACACACCCTTAGAAGTTGGAAGCTGATGGATGGGGTGGCAGTGACCCCCCCACAGCTGGATCCCCGACTATGACTGACCCCACAGGAGCTCCTACAGTACAGAGCCCTGCCAGGGGGTTCCGGAAGCAGGATGGAGGAGCGGGGAGGTTGAGCTGGGATGGGGTAGAAGGTCTTCCACAAACTTTGTGCACTTAAGAAAATGCAAGTCACAGCTTCTTCCTGTTCGGTTGGCTTTCTGAGTGAATAGCAATAGCTTCAGCAACGACATCGGTTCCAGCCGAGTTGCTTCTGTAGGCTCGCTGCATGTGTCACCTGCCACCATGACACAGCCCCACCCCAGGAGCACTAGGCTCCCTCAGGCTGTGCTTTGTAGATACACCCTGTCTTCTAGGAGTCTGATGAGTCAGCCTGGTGCCCATTAAGCTTCGGCTGGTGAGCAGCAGGGTCTCCAAGGAACCAACCTTACGGGCTTGGAGCCATCTGTCTTGGGAGCATTATAAATATGATTTCACATTTAAAGTGTTCGCCAACCTAATTCTACATCTTGGTTCAGGCATTTCGTTTGTTCCTTTGGAGCAGGGTCTCAAGTAGCTCAGGTTGGTCTTAGCGCATTATAGAGCCCAGAATGACTCTGAACTCTGGGTCTCCTACCTCTACTTTCCCAGGCGGGGATTACAAGCAGAGCAGCATGCAGGGGCGAGGTTTCGGTTCTGTGGGGCGTGTGGACCTGCTAGTGGAAGCTGGAGTTCCTGTGATATCCTTCAGTGGCCACAGGCTCTCCATATAGCAGTGTCCCCGTGTCATTCCTGATACCGTTCATTTGTTTCTCCGTGTACGTGTCACTTTTGTTGGCAGTTTGTCAATTTTATGGATTTTTGCCCTAGAAAAACAGCCTTTTGCTTCAGCATTTTTCTCAATTGTGTTTCTTTTTTCAAGTTCATTACCTCCTTCTTCCTCCTCATCCTGGGCTCCTTTGC